GTAGTTTTCTTTGATTTTCTCTGCTTTGGAGTTCTTTGAAATTCTTTCTTTGCTCACTAGATTATAGTACATGAAAGCAATGATCTGTGTATGATCTCTTAAAGGTATTATTGAAAAAAGTAAATGAATAATATCTCAAATATTAATCAGACCGTGTCATAGACAGAATATGGTAATTTATCTGGTATCTAGCTATATTTTCCTTTTTATTTACTTATATACTTCCCAGTTACTTAGCTTGGAAACTCAAATCTCCTTGAGAGCTAGAAAAGATATTTGTAGGGACCATTACCATACTTTCTGGTGAAGGCTCCAAAACTCTTCCTCAGGGCATATTATAAAACCCAAGATGTGTATTTTGTGTTCTGGATAGGCTGTAGGGGTTTGAAAATGCTTCAAATTGACAGTAATCTTTCCGTGTTTGGTCTTAGCCCATTTTTTGTGTTGTTATAAGGGAATACCTGAGGCTGGCAATTTATAAAGGAAAAAAGGGTTATCTGGCTCACAAATTTCGTATGTCTGGAAGATGGAAAGGCTGCATCTGGTGAGACCTTCAGGCTGCTATCCCGGGAGGGGGCGGAAGGTGAAGGGAGCCCACGCGGTGGCAGAGATCATACGGTGGAGAGAAGCGGGAGCGCAGAGCATGGGGGGGGTTGCCCAGGGCTCTTGTTGAACAACCAGCTCTCCCAAGAACTACTGGCCCTCAAGGCGGGACATTTAATCTATCATAAGACATCCCCATGGACCAAAACACCTCCCACTAGGACCACCACTTCCCAACGCTTGGGCACACGGGGATGAATTTCAAACATGAAGATTGTTGGAACAACACAACCATATCCAAAGCACAGCACATGTCATTGTTATTAGTCTAAGTTAATCATGAATCTTCATCTCCTGTGTCATGGACTCGGTTTTCCAGGATTGACAGGCCTCAGTACAATTACAAGGCCGATGAAATGCATTGAGAATCTTCACAAGGCTTCCAGAAAGTAAACCTAGTCTCTCTACAGAGTTCCATGAATAAGGAGTATATTTCCACAGATGTTTGCTGGGGCAAGCCTGCTTACATTCAAACTCAGATCCCAGCGGGGAAACAGAGTTCCACTTGGGATATTCAGAATGAGATAACTTTAATTATAGACATTTTATTAGCGGTATAAACAAATGAAGATATGAGCCAGCTCGTGGGAATTTTGAGGTTCACTGGACACTAGCAAAGAGTGGGAAGCTTGTAAGACACAAGGAAGGAGCTGGCAAAGCAATGGCTGTGGGGACCAGCCACTGCCAGAACAAATGTGCTACCAAAGCAAGGATGAGATGGAGAAGAAACACCATGCGCGCTAGCCTTGCCTCTCTTTCCAACCTTCTGATTCTCCTGCTGGCGCCTCCCGGCTGCCGAGCCCAATTAGAAGGCCAGCCGGAAGTCTGGCCCCACATGATGCATCCTTAGCTTAGCCTTTGAGGGACAGAGCAGATCCTAATAAGCGACTTAGAAAGGAACTGGTGAGCTAAACTAAGATAGCACCCATATTCCTTATGACCACCATTGGGAATCAACCTATAGGATGAGCCAAATGCTGTTGTAGACGGAAAGGCCGAGAGTTAGAAATGATTAGGTCTGTGGTTGACATGGATACAGACTGAATCAACCAACC